GTAAATCATTTGTATCAATAGATGTTAATTTTCGACGATAAGAAACAGATGATCACGTTGAAGGTGTTATTGTTGAAATAACAAAATTTAAACTTATGTATAATTCTACAAAAAATATCATATTTAAAAAATGGTAGCTTTTTCATACACTAAATATTTTTGGTTTTACGGTGCATTAACACACTTTAGGTCATATGGCGCCGAAACAGGAAAGATGATTTTTGCTTACCTCGGGTGCTGCAAACTTAAAGCAACACCAGCGGTAAAAACCACTTCACCTGCTGGGACTAATAGATGCAAAGAATTCAGTAGTTCGTACCTAAGTAGTCGCCTCTTTCGATCACAGGCTGCAATTCTAAAGGCATTCCCTAAGCTACAAAGGAATCATATATTTGATAAAACTAATAGCAAATATCATTCTTTGATTTAGTTTGCGAAGCGGAAAGATTTTTCTTTCATATATTATGGCCGTAATTAATCTTTACGATGATTGTAATGATCAATCTGCACACATACAGTTTAGAAATGTCTGCCTTCATAGGTGGTACAAACTTCAATAAATTGTAAAACCTAATCTGTTACATACTTGCGTGCAAAGAAATGCAAATAAGACAGGAATGGAAATATTGATATTTATAATCATCGAATATTCTTACTGACATTTGTCTGTCTAAATCAGCCATGAAATATGTCTTAATTGCACATCTATTTATTGCATCTTCATCTTCACCAGTGCCATTATGATATATGTAGATCTATGTAAATATCTTGTCCTTCCAAATGCTGATGTAGAACATGCAAAGTTGTTACGGGAGATCAATTCGACATTCAGATTATATTATGCCTGATTCAAGACAAGGACATAAACGATAAAATGACTGGAAACAACAATAACGGTGCAAAAATGATGTACTTTATCTATGCTCGTGCAGACAGATTTTTTTAATAAAAAAATGTTTGTCATTTGGAAACCGTATAATATCGAACTATTTACATGATTTCAATTATGTTTACCTATATATAGCTTTACCGGATAATTGGAAATCGTGCGTTTACAAAGCGCATCTTTGGGTTCTTTATTGTAGTTATTGCAGAAATTAAGATCATTTTGTTAAATTTTTCTGCCCAAAGAATAAGAAGATCGTATCTGTATTTACAAAGTTGCCTTACTTACTTATAATTTATCTTCAGTCTGTGTTTTTTTTAAAGTTGCATTACTTATAATTTATATAGATTATTTGTTTGATTTACACACCGACTTCAACATGTTTTGGTTTATATATCGGCGGTAGGTCCATATTATCGACTTCCCTAGATAAGTAACCAGCTATTATCAATTTCTCTGCAAGTTCCCGCCAACTAAGCGCACATGCTTTCTGAATCAGCAATGAAAGACAAATAATAGTAAGACATAGAACAAACGATCCTTTGAATACAAAGCGGCAATAGTATTATACCATCAAAAAATACATTGACACAGGCCATGATTAAATTGCCTTGTTTTATATGCAAATTTAAAAACATTTAAACAAAAAGCCGTCAAAGAAATTTCTATTTACCTGTTTACAAGAAATATAAACATAAAACTTATTTAAGTTTTGTTTTCGATGAAATACATTTGGCTGGTTTTAAAGGTTTACAATGTTTTACTTTTCGTGTTCTAGTATCCACCCAATATTTCATACAGTTACAGATAAAATGAAACAACAACAAAAAAGGATCCCCCACCCCCTCCAAAAAAAAAAAATCAACCCCAAAACAAACAACAAACAAACAATCAAACAAAATGGGGAAAAAACAAACAATCAAAAATTGGACTTCCTTTAAAGCCTTTTACATTGTGTTTATATAAATCTTGATCTTCATCTCATATAATGGAATATCATTATATCTTTCGCAAATTTCTGGTGCTTTTGAAATAAAAATGATAATTGATAATGACGCTGAAAGGTAAGATTTAAATCTCGATGGAATTCTGATTTCATCAATTTTCAAAACGGACTAATGGTTTCGAATGATGATTTGATTGTTTAATACCGTATGTACTTTGTCAGGAAATTTAAAAATAGCTATTTTAAAGTTGTATTTCCTACAGGTGACAACTCGTTGCTCATTCTTTATTTCACATTCTGCATATCCCTCCGCGCCCGCGTCACATATGACATATTGAAGTATAAAATAAATAACCATATGTACGAAAGACCGGTGGGGACATTTCCCCGATTTCAACTTCACGAATTCACGATTTCAACGTCACGAATTTACGATCTCAACTTCATGAATTCACGATTTTAACTTCGTGAATTCACGATTTCAACTTCACGAATTCACCTCTATGAATTCACGATTTCAACTTCGCGAATTCTCGCTTTAAAGTTCCACAACGTTGAATTCATGAAGATGAAATCGTGAATTCATGAAGTTGAGTCGTGATTTCATGAAGATGAAATCGAAAGTTCATAAAGTTGAAATGGCCCTACTGGTCTTTCGTACACATGAGAAAGTAAAACTTTGTTTACTTTCTGGTACGCGCACATGTTTATTTATTTCAAAGTAGCTTGCACTCAGATTCATGCTTATTTCCATGTACATTTTGAAAATGTATTAAAAAGTTAAATATTGTAAAGTGAAGAAAACAAATTATTTAAACATTGCACACAGCACTAACAATCCAAGTTACCAACAATGGGTCAAAATATGCGTTTTCAAGGCAGTAGAAATAAAATAAAAACAATGTCCTGCAAAAATAAGTAAAAAGTCGCAAAAATATATAGTATTACATTAATCTTAAATCGTTTAATTTACTTAAAATCTTTGCCCAAGTTTGATTAAATTTCTTGAAATATTTTGGCTCATCTGTAGACATGCAGCTGTAAGCATAACCAAACAAAAGATTATATTTCTTTTTTTACTTTCTACTAAAATTTTTTAAGTGAGTTTAAGCACACACCGCTTTGACATTAACAGATTTCACTAGAGTTATTCTATAAGACAATTGCCGCCAGATCTTTTTTCTGGTTTGAAATTGAAATGCAAAAACAACACATGCCACGGACAGCTTTAAAATTAATAACTCTGAATCAATACATAACCTTAAATCAAATTCTTTTTCTTTCTCCTGATTTGCATTTCTAGAATAAAAATGTCTTCATAAAATTACCTATAAAAACAATAAACGTTCAAGTTCGTGTAATAAATGTTTGTTAACGTTTTTTTTTAAACTATGGGCCTCTGCGTATGCCTTTTATAGTAGTTGCTCTGCTTAACAAACAACCTCGCCTCAAACCAAACCAATAACATGTAAACCTTAACAAGAAATCTAAAAAATGGACCCCAAGTAAAAGTATGCGTCTGCACAATAGGCGAACTAAATAACACGGACTTTTGAGGGGAGGAGGGCAAAAACGCGATAGCTTCTTCTGAATACACACAAACATGACTTCAAAGTACATGCTATATGAAGATAAAGAGATACGTATAAATAAGTTGTCTTAACACTTGATGCAAGAGACAAAGAGACTTTATCATCGGAATCTGAAAGCTCAACTTTAGAATTTCAGAATCGATTATGAATCAACTTAAAACAATGATGTGTTTTTCCTTTTTTGCATAAAAGCTAGCTTTATTTGATAAACATTACATGTTAATGACATACGTGGCGTATTAAAGTAAATATATATATTAAATATTTGATCAAATAAGAAATGATATATACTCCCATTGAGAATAATATTTGAAATTAAAATGAGAAATTATCTTCAAAGACTGGAAATAAATCTATCTTGTGAAAAAGAACACTGCGGTAAATAGAAATCTCCTAGACAATCTAGATAGATGAAATAAATTCGTGTCAATGGAATATTCAATTACAATTATCAGCTAAACCTGAGACCGATTTATGTTTGATCAGTTAAAGACATAAGCAAATATATGAAGAAATGACTGGACGTATAAGATTGCTAAAGCTTCCTCATTTAAACAATGATGGGAAGGAGCTACTGAAGTTCTGAATAACTACAGAAGAACTACATCGCATAGCTCAGGTATGCGATGTGGTTCTGACCTCTAATGTTGTCTTAAGTTTGAAATACACTAGGGTTGCAAAAATCATCTTTCCTGTTTCGGCGCCATGTGACATAAATTGTGTTATTGCTCTCTAAGACCTAACAAAACAAATAAACTAGGCAAAGATGCGCACTTAATCTATTCATTGCGCTCAAATCAGAGTCAATGGAATAATTTATTGACACAATCATGAATTTATTGACACAATCATAACAGAGATGAGAATATATGGCGAGAATATAATTTTCCCAAAAAAAAATTTTTTTTTAAGAAAATGACAAACCTTTTAGAGATTAAACAAAATAAATCGTATTACTAAGTGATTATCATTTTACTATTATTCTGAAAGAGGCATTAAGTTTTTTTACATTTGCAATTATCATAACACTTACAGCACATTTTTTTAGCTATCTTTGTTATATTTTACTATTTGTGATGATTTAATATAAAATACGATTAATTATGCAGCTTTTAATTAATAAATTGTTTAAGGTGAGAATCATAAATATTGTATTTGTCAAATTTTCTCTTAAATTTTATAAAGATAATAATATTTACTTATATTATGAATGAGAATAATAATCTATCGCACATTGTAAAGTTTGACATAGAAAACCAAAGCTGGTGTTAGATTTAACGCAAGGTGCAAATACAAATAATTTTACTTGGTAGCTTTATGATATTAGTAAACTGGTACACTTAAGAAATTTGTTTTAAATAAATAATTTTTTTCTAGATACATTAAATACTGATCAGTCTTTCAAAGATTCCTATCGAAATTGGTTTAAACATATGATTATATCACGAGAAGCTAATGGTAAATCTAACTGAAGAAAAGAAAAAGGTGAAAGAAAACAAAAAGTATAATAAACATTTTTGCACAGATATGGATATATATTTGTGAAAGAGAAATATCAAATGTAACATAATATAGACTACTCACCACTATATGATTTTCCTATTTCAGACCTGAGAATACTTTCGATGTCATAATTTTCTTCAAGTTTGTAATTATCCGGTTTCATTGTAGCTCTAGATTCCAAATGTAAACCTTTTGCTGCTAGAAAACACACACTTTCCATGTATTCATCTTGCCCTTTATCCTCATATAATATCTTAAATCTCACCCAGTTATAAAACTTAGACACAGCAAGAAATGATCTTGCAACTGAGTCAAACGTCACGGGTCCGACACGTGTTAAGAGGTTATATTCCTTCATTCGACTAGCCGCGAAATCTTGAGCCAATGCCCCAACAGTAACAATAGGTGTATTCCAGTACACTGCTTGCCTGGCCACGACAGCGACAACGAAGTCACAAACTGGGCCAAAGAATACCGTAGCATTGTGAACAGAATAGAAGTTGATGGCCTCATTCATGCCTTTGGCCTCGATACAGCTTGTGTCCCCGTACCGGACATTGATTGTATGCCCATACAGAATGTCTGTATTATTTTGTAAATATTCTATGGCATACTCGATGGCTATAATAGCATGTTCTATAGGGAACAGGTTTTGACGTGTCGAAGGAAGAATGGAACCTATGTTGACGTTGATACATAGAACATTTTGAAGGCCGACAAGCAGAACACAACATAGTATAATTGAGCTATACATACTCATTCAGAAAACTGAAATCATATTCCTTCTCGTTGATAAACTTTGCTTTGATATATTACACTCCAATCCGTTTTAGAATTAACCCTTTCAATTCATTTTAAAGGATGTTCAGCTTCAAGCTTGTAACTTGAAATATGTGAAGTTAAAGTGTATTTTCGTAATAGTTATCCATGAAAAATTCCTATATGAACATAAGGAAACATTAAATAACAATATATAATTTAATAACCTTATGATATCACATTGAATAAAGCACGAATTTGATCGAAGGGGTTATCTTCATTGCTTATAATAAATACAAGAAAGTGCTTAAAATTTCATTTTTGTTTCTTAAACATAGTTTTTGAGGAAACATAGTTTATTGAGGAAACATAGTTTATTGAGGAAACATAGTTTATCGGTAGGAAACATAGTTTATTGGTAGGAAACATAGTTTATTAGTGATCTTAATTAGAATGATGCATCAGATCTGTAAGACTTGACAACATTGAATACAATGATGTCAGTTTTGCAATGACAACAGAAAAGCTTTAGGCAAAGAAATCACTCAAACTTCTCACTCTTTTCAAGTGTATACATTGTATATGTATAATCTACGGGTTTTTTGTTGTTATTTGTTGTTCTTTTTTGTTGTTGTTATTTGTTGCTGTTTTTTTTCTCAGAAATCACTGTTTAAAATGTCAGAATATCAGTGACGTACTTCTCAAGACTTATAATACAGTTAAGAACATTAATTAGTTTTATTCAAGTTTTGGTGTTGATCAACAACAAAAAGGGCGTTCGTCAAATAATATATTAATATATAGGGACAAAACCTAAACAGTTTTTGGAACTGTTTAAGAATCTTCTCTTTTGTCTCATTTTTGCAGGGTCTCTACAATTTTTTTTTCATGCAAAACCATCTATGAAATATTAATAAGTTTCTCGTGAAAAAAATATTTTATTTCAGTTATATTTTTAATCATAATAATACACATCCATAAACGTCGAGAATCTTTGTTACGTATGTTACGTTATTGTATAAATGTATAGGTCCTAGTTATCAAAAAATCGTTGACATTTCGTATACTTATTAAAAACCATGCGCCACAAAAAGGTAAGCTCTTTATTGAGCAATATATTCACTAAGTTGTTCACCTATGAAACTTTGCAGTGTAGTTTATCATAAATATATTGGATGGCCTACAAAGTATTTTATAGGATGTAAAATGATAATTTATTTATAACATAGTGCATAATATTTCAAGATGCTAAGAAAATGTTCTTGTAAAAAGAGTTTTTAATTATTTGTCTTCCATGTATTTTAACCAAATTGGTACATATTATTGTACAATATCGTTATAAATAATTAATTTGAACTGACTTTCGTGCAAATGATAAATAATTTCTATAAGATAAGTAAGAATAGTAAATAATATGTTTCAAAAATTAAAACACTTAATATTATTATATTAAAATTCAAGGATAAAATTATGACGGGGAATGCATATTTTTATGCTTTTACTAAAATGAAACTTATAAACTATTAATTGGTTGATTTTTACCCAAAAAACACAAAAAATGTCATTTCCATACGAAAAACGAATCAGCTTTTTAAAACGCCTACCTTCAAACGTAAGTCCATTTACTACACAGATTTAACCTATTGCTGCGGAAAAAATGAAAATCAGACAACGATTATTTTTTTCTAAAATAATTGAATGTTTTGTGTCTCTTTGTTTGATAAATTATTTCTTTAATTAAAATCTTTGGATTAAATCTGATCGCTTCAACATTTCAATTACACGCACAAAGAAAAATAACAAAACAGTCCTGTAAATTGATGTTTATTGGAATAATTCCTTTTTGTTAAATTATATTAAAATACTTTTTCATAACAACTGTCAAATACAACAAAAGTTTATCCTTACAGAATTCCACATTATTTTATCAGACATTAACGTTTTCCCCCCAGAAATAACCTATAATTAACACATTTCCAGTGGTGTCCGTATTAAAATCACAGATTAGTTATTCCATATAGAAATCTACACACAACGGCAAAGCTATTCTGTCTTTCAGGAAGAAATAGTGAAGTTTATATTAGTACGCCAACACACGAAGTGACACCATCACAGATATTTTATTCACCTGATGATCTGACAATATTATTTCCCATACGAACCAAACAACTCTCATAGTATCATCACATAAATACTAGGTCATTAAATATGCAATTGGCAGTCAAACAATATGCTAGGAAAGTTATTGCTTTATTGGTACAGTACCATTCACTAGGGATACAGTCACATCATTTCATTAATTGTTCAATTTAATTGATTGACTGAGTTCTTTGACATATTGCCTATTAGAATAAAATTGACATAAACGCAATCATAATTTTTACTTTGCAATTGAAAATTGTAACGTTTGTATCTAAAATGGTAATAATGATGATGGTGATAATGACTTTGATAGCGGTGATGATAAGAGCGATGGTTATTATTATCTAGGTGATGGTAAAGGGGCTGTTGATTATTATTTTTTATCATTATGATACTGTTAACAATTATTATTATGATACAGATTTAATCTATTTTCATTATTAATATTATTGTTAGTATTGTTGTTGTTGTAATTATTGTTGTTGCTGTTGCTTGAATTAAGAGTAATCATCACATACTTTTGCTGTGCTTTGAACATACATTCTAAACAAATTCGATATTTCAAAATATCGATAATTGCTTTACATTATCTATGAAATTGTAAAATAAATATGGATTATGTACCCACACAGTAGATATGTCACGTCAAATTCAATACATTCTGCAAGAAAAAAATATTTTCTCACAAATGAGCAAAGTCTATTTTTAAAAAATATACACCATAAAGAATTACATGGTAAAATATGACAAAACAATCAAAACAGTTATTTATCAATTACTATCAATTGATAATTACAAACTTTTCTTTGAAAACAAAAATGAACGGGAAATTTAACGGAAACGTTCTATTTACATGTGCATCGGTATTAATCATCTATTAATTTGGTTGAAAACTATTCATGCATAAAAATCACGTGCCTCATTACAGTTCTAATCGATGTCAATTCAGAAATCTTATTACATTCGATACAAATAGAAACTATCGGATAAACCGTATTCGTATAAAGCGATTATTATGCATTTTACTGTAACAGTATGAAGCATCATTTTAATTCACCATCGCCTAATTCAATTTCCTTTTAAGATAAAGATCAAAGGATTGTCATACTGAACTGACCGGTAAATAATCGTGACATACACGGATGCAAATGCAATGATGAGTGTAAAGGGATTAATTCTGTTTGAAGTTATGTCTCAATGTAGCATCCCATTAAAACGCATCAAAAGATTCATTCATTGATATAATTGCAAAAGGTGTTAATGCACAATCGTTTTAGCTTACACGCGAGACAGATAAAACAGTAGATGATTGACGAAAGACTCTAAACATTGAGATTAATGACATTACAAAACATGAGCCATTAAATATCAAGTAACCAACAAGAGCACCAAGTTCTGCTCATCGTTAGTAAGAATCCATATTCATTTTCAAGAAAAGAATAATTTCTCTCCTATACTAAGCTACAAATATCATAATTTAGATGGTATAATTATACTTTTTAAAGCTTCAGCCTTATTTGAGTGATACCGATTTCCAAAAATATAAGTAAATTAATAAGAAAATAAATGAAACCAATGAAACCAATCCACACCTGTTTCTCAGCTTCTTGTGAAATACTATTAATTTTGAAAAAAAACTGGCTATTTATTTTAAGTAAGAAGACGACATTTTTAGCAGACGATAATTCTCCCCAGCCTGATATAATATATCAGGGCAGGTGTTCATAGCTTTGGCATGTTTTTAAGATTAATGATATTGATTCCAAAACAGGTATTTTTAGAGAAAATAAAAACACTATTTCAGCACAAATTCTTGCTGAAAATAAGACAATGGTAACGATCTGTCTAAGTAAAAAAATATATCAATTAAATAATGTTGATCCTGTAAAAAAATGTAGGTGAAAGTATGGATATAAAGTTATAAAATCCTGTAACATTCTTTCACAATTATACCTGTTTTAATCTTATCATGTCAGACTTTTCAACATTACTGGTGATAAATATGAGATTGCATAGCATATAAGTACAGTAGTATAGATATTAAAGCATACCTCATTACGTGGACATCATACCGTTAATTTATAGATTTCTGTCGCTACAAATGTGAGATTCTGATAAATGAGGCCATAAAAGATGGATGGAAAATGGAATTACCTAATAGATGGATATTCATTGCACCCAAATGTTTCAAGATAATAAAATTACTTTATTGACTGATGTTTATAGCAGCAAAGTGTATCGCAATTCAATTAGGCGAATATGGTCAGTGTCTAGGTACAGGGAAATATTCAAACTAAACATGATATAAAATATAATATTTGTTCTGCTGAATAGGGCAATATAACATACATTTCATGTAAGATATTCTGATTTTGCCATGTTGAATTCTGATCAAACATTTATTAAAAAACAATTTCAAAAAGGTAATACAGTGATATGTAAGTAACAGTACTGTCATTTTGACGAATTATATGTAAGTTATTGGGTCAATTAACGTTTTGTCACGTTTTAACGTATGATGTGTCAGTCATATTTAAGATTAGTGTAGCGGCATGACCAAGTAATCTAATGACAGCCTGCCACGTGGGTTTGGAGCCAGTCAGGGACAAGCCGTTGTGTCCGTTTCCGTTGTTTTGAAACACAGTCGAACTCAAACAATTTGTAAAAAAAATCATATTGTCAATACCTGAATGGTTCGCAGGTTCTTGACCACTTCACACTTTTCTATTTTGTCTGATACTTGGTGTGATATCAATCCTCTTTATCAACAGTTACGTGTGAAAGATAAATGAAATCAATACATGTATCATGTAATAGATCAAATTAAACAATTAATTTTGTTAAAATTTGATAATTTTCAAAAAAATTACATCCATTACATCCAAATAAAGCAATTACTCTTATGATACCAACAAAAAGACCGTACATGTGCATATTTCACGGATATACCTTGTATGAAGGACGATACTTGATGTTGGCTATGATGTTGCAAATATTAAACTTTCCAAAAAGATGATTTAAAAGGAAATCAGATTACTTCATGACTAAAACAAGCGAATGTAACGATCATGCATTTTAATATCTAAATCGATACTTCTTGCTCCTAGTAAGTTAACATGTAAATATCGCCATATCCATAAATAAAAGGACATGCAATAAACTATAAACACTTCTGTTAAACATCAAGTAACAATAATATTAACCTAATTTTTACATGCCTGAAAAAATATAGGCTAGGAAGTTAATAAAAAAAAATAATATTTTAAAAAGTACTTGACAATAATACATTTTCATAGAAAGTCATCGTAGCTTCTGTTAATAGGAAGTAGACATTGTACTTTTGTAGAACATTCTCGAGTCACAACAGCAATTTACTTAAGAAATGCGAGCGAAAATAATTCTCAGTATAAAACGCATTATTGATTCCTAACCCCAATCTAACATGTAGATACATACTGATTCAGAGCAATCAAATGCCCTTTTAATAATGAGATCTCTTTCACACTTAAGTATCATATTGTCAGACTAAACTATAAATACGGCTTAATTACTAATAACAAAATACCTCATAAGTACTAATCGTTGATAAAGTCGTATAAGGACAAACTTTCCTTCACCATCTTAGTGCAGTAACGTGTTAACTCTTTATATATTTAAATAGGAGATAACCAGTTACTGTACTAAGGTGGCGATCATCTTATTTTTATAATTGATTAAACCTTAACCTGAAGAATTGTGTAAAAGATTGGGTTTGCTTTGAAACTGGAACAGTTCATTTAATTGAATACCAAATATCAAAATAACAAAACGAGCTTCAAACAGCTTTTAGCCTGGCTAAACGGGTTTAAATTTGCAGGCTGACTGGCTTGACTTTTACTGGTTACAATGTTCAATCACATTTGATTCAAATAGGGTAAGGGTTTATGAAATCGAAAAAATGTAACAAAGATTAAAAACATATTTATATGAAACGTATGAAAGCCACAAGAAACAATAGATGACATCAAAATGTCCATTACTTCAAGCAATAAGGCAAGATTCAACATAACAAAGAATGACTCACCTCCGTAATTAAGCCCAACTTCTAATCTTAGAATATCCTCTATTACAAAATGACCTTCCAATTTGAAATGATCTTGGGTCATGTTATGTTTCGATGATTGGGATTCAAAATGAAGTGCACTGGCGGCAAGGTAGCACATACCTTCCATGTATTCAGCTTGGCCCGCTTCCTCAAAAATTATCTTGAATTTATTCCAGTTAAAATATTTCACCATATCTAAGTATGCATTTGACATTGAGTTAAAATTCACTGGCCCTACACGAGATAGCATTCTAAACTCATCCAGGCGATCATCATTAAACTGTTTAGCAAAGGCCCCCACTGACAGCAATGGGATGTTCCAAAACATAGTTTGTCGTGCTACTGGGGCAAGGACAAAATCACATACAGGACCAAGAAAAACATCCACTTGTTTCTTTATAAAGAACTCGTAAGCCTCGTTCATTCCCTTTGCCGGTGAGCAGTTCGTATCACCATATCTTACTTTAAAGGTATGACCGTTCAAAAGATCCGTATTATTCTTCAAATGTTCAATTGCATATTCAATTGCAGGCGCAGCATGCTTCATTGAAAAGAGTCTTCGATCATCTTCTGGTAGAATAGCAGCAATATTTACCTCAATACCAACTACATGTCCAATGAAATATATGAAACTGCTCAAAATAACCACCAGCAAATGTATATTTGAATTACACATGATTTGTCCTTTTAATCAAGAGTTTTCATTTTCAATTCACTTGTACTACTTTCAGTCAAACATGATTACAACCTTTTCAGGTAAAGAGAGTACCGTGATCTTTTATCTGTTTTAAAAATCTTTTAGCATTCCAAATACTTAGAAAAGCAAAATGATGACGGAAGCACATTTGTTTTTCGTTTCATTTTTTTTAATTATTTGTTTATCGTTCCAATTTTCTTATTATCTGTTTATCATTCCAATATTCTTATTATCTGTTTATCATTCCAATATTCTTATTAATTGTTTCTCGTTCCAATATTCTTAACATTCAGATAATGCTGTAATTAAAAAAAAACTCTTCTTAATAGCAATAAAAAAGTTTTAATCTAATACAGAGACAAAACACTTTGTCTAACTTTCACACACATTTAATGAAAACAAAAATGTATTTCCCTCAATAATAATGCGTTCTTGTCACGAAATTATCAAAACATTGTGTATCTTTTTATCTTAGCAGGAGTCAATTTCAATTTGTTGATGATAATGCAAAAAAAAAATTAGTTATAAATTTGAATAACAAAAAAATTACTTGTAACTATTACAATTATACTGACAATATATACATAATACCTGATATAAAAAAGGAGAATTTTATTGAAATCAATAACGACTATGAAACACAAGTTTGAAAGCATCATGTTTCACTGTGAAAGTATATTATGATTGTTTTCCACCTTATTTAATTAAATAGCATAAGTATGATGTTTATGCTTTATTACTGTTATTATTATTCTCATTTTTATTATTATTGCTCTTATTTTGATTATTATTATTATTTATTTATTTATTTATTTATTGTTTTTTTAACATCATCATCACCATGATAAATATCATTCTAGTATCAAGTTTCCGAAATTTCCAAATGAACAAACAAAAAACAATAACAACAATTTTTCATTAATTTACTGCACTGTGCAAACACCTGTGAACAGTCTATACAATATGATAAATTTAAGTTAATATTCATAATTTCATCTAACAGTTACATTTGTAAATAAGTTTTTTTCAATATATTGAGTAATGCAATATTAGAAAGTAATTGAGGTGAGGAAAACTATCATTTAAATAAATGTACATTTTTGTTTATATACATCATATGTTTTCTAAAGAGGTGATGCATTTGCTTCATGAGGTGTTGTACAGCTATTGCTAGTTGTATAAATTGATATTATTATAATAAGCAAAATGCTGGCCGAGTTTGTATTCCATTTGATTTTATTTGATTATGGGTAATGGTTTTTCATGAATTATAAATGACTTACTGTGATCAATCCTTGATCAATCCTGTAGATTTGTTAAATGAGAAAGTGCGATATTAGAGATACTGCTATTCATTAACCTGATATATACCTTACAGGTACTCCATGAGGATGCATTATTTTATAGTATTGGAAATGAATGGAACCTGGTTATTGTTATACTTTGTGAATTATTGATATACGGCACGGTGCAATGAATACCTTTGGTCATAGTCAGCTTTCGCCAATAGCAGGTATTGTTTGAAATGTCACATATATCGTGTGATATGCATCTCTTGAATAATTTAAATCATAATCGTCTCAGATCTGAACTTTAGATATAATATCATAGCAATTTCATAATCTTATTAGCATAATAAATGGTTATAATATCCTACAAGAGAGGTCTATTTCTGCCTTAAAGTAAAAAATAATGACCTCAAAAGAATAAAAAAAACAATGTTAATATGTGAAAAAATTTCAACATTATGCATGCTATTTTTTTCTACAGTTACATTAGCTTCAACTTGTTTCACTTTAATCAAAATGTATGCTAAGCTTTAAATTAACAGGAGAGAGAATAAGGTTTTGTAACGCAGTTCAGAAAATCGCTTTTATTGCAGTTAATCATTTTATGTTGCAAACCCGTGTGAAATAATGTGTTTTATAAAAAAAGACATTCAAAGTCATACTGTAAAAGCCTGACAACAACATTTAATCATTTTAAGTGGAAAAAGCGAATTTCTGAAACAATGAAATTTGTGTTTCATGGTCCTTAAGACAGCATTTTTATTGCCATTTGTCATTGTTATTACTTTAAGATTGAACGGCGCACTTTTTAACATTAACATTATGTTTTCCTTAATGGGATGGAAACAGACATAGTTCAAGTTAACAAAGACTGTTTTCTTCATGTTGTAGGAATTTTTTCGAGCAAAATCATATGTAACTATAACTGTTTGATTGCTAAACATATATATAGTCAAACATTTTTGTTTTGATGTAAATTTAACGTGACGTGCAGGATGAATAAGTAAATCATGAGGCCAATATAAATTTGGATGATTTATGGTATCAATAGTATTTTAATGTGTCTACTATAGTATTCGTATATTATCATCATGATTTTTGTTGAACATACTTATTCATTTCCAGATATTGATACCTCAAAGTTGTTTATAAATTCTTTCAAAAGTAATAAATTAGGATAGTCAGGAATAACGTCAAAACAACTTGACTTTACTATTTTAAACGACGATTTAATATTTTAGCAATGCTTTATTTAACATACTGTTAGATAAAAATGTTAAAATAAGCAATATTAGAAATGTTTGTTTTTGGATTCCGAAAATCGAATGAAAGGTTCATAAATTCCTACAATATAGACCTATACTATACGAATTATAATATATTACTTACAATATACCACCTATAAAATATGACCTATAATAAACCTAGTTATATGTTAAGAGTACCGCAGAGAAATCGACATATATATATATGCAAATGATTTATTAACTGTGATATGTAACTGGTTTGTTTCTCTGAATGTGAGATATTTAAATTTACATCTTTGCCTAAGGGTATTTTGATTTGTTAAAACATTTTATCTTAAATCATCTTTTCACATTTATATTACCAGTAGTTATAATTTAAATACGTCAAGTAGCAACTGAAACCCATTTGTGTAGTTTGTTGATGGTTTTTCATTAAACCCATAATCTTTATCTTTATCAAACGAATCTTTTAAAAACCACTTAAACACTTAAAATTAATTTAGCAATCTAAAGATGAGTGCAAATATTTATGCATACAACTATGGTTTATTTTTGTTTGTATTTAATTGTACTTTAGATGTTTTAATGTTGTCATTAGTGTAAGAATTATCAGTATGAACAATGTTATAATTACCATTTTTTTCAACGTAGCAACAAACAACGCTATAATTACACAATAATCCATCACATTATCCGTACACAATAATGCACAATAATATGCACAAACTACCCTCAAAGAACTGGTTCCAAATTAAATTTGCTATTGTTACTGTATATTAGCATCTTGTCCTTTTACTTCGTTTACAATTTACATACTATCCCGTATAATTGGTAATTGCGTGATTAAATAACGTTATAACTAACTTTGTTAACCGGACATCATCATTTAATTCCATTGAACAAAACAATCTTTACAGTTATATTATATCATGTAAATTTGTCGCATGAAATGAAAGGTATTTATAAATATAATCTACACATCATGTTCACGGTCCCATGTTGCCTTATCGTGCGTGCAACACGATGAGTAAATAAATTTAATTCCTATGAAGGGAAAACGTGTCAATAATGTATCTGTTAATTATTATTTCTAATTTTAAAAGTAACATGCACTTTCCAAATTGGCACGAGATCATAAATCACTGAAAGAAATTTCATCTTATGTTCTAATTTGATAATGTCCTTTTTACCATAAAAAATTAAAATTGTACTCATTTATAATATACGAAATAGACCCCAATTGTTAAATTCAATCTGGACTTGCGAAGTGTTAAACCTTTCAACTAAAGCATTGACTGTGGGTTTGCTAAAATTTGGTTTTCACAGAAGTAACAATAATCTTGTCAACATACATCGAAGGCTTGATAAACTTTACCTTTAATCTAAATTATTTGTGTTGTAAAGAAATATCATTAGATCGGCCATGTTATAAACACTTGAACCAATACTTTCAAATGAAAATATTTCAACTAACTGAAAAACAATGATAATGCACATTTAAACAGCTAAAATAAAATTCATAAAACCTCTTTCAGAAGCATGTTAGCCTTCATTTAATTTAAAATGTAAAAATGCATTATTAAATATAACGATTGACGAATAACATGCACGGTATTTGAACACATTTTCCATATAATTAATTATAACTTCATAGCCTTAAATACTAAATGAGGTACATTTCAATATGATTGCACGTAATGATATTTCATCGTCAAGGTACATGCTTTCAAAAGTTGTATCATTAACAAATGATCAAAACAGCTTCAGTTTAGTTGTTACCAAATGATTTCAAGGAAATTCACTATAATCCAGTGTTTATAATGCAGTGCGTTAAAGATACGAAAGAATTTTCAGATAATATATTGATATACTAGTACTTTTTCTATGAATAATAGGATGTTATTTGTTTGGTTGAGAACAATGATAAATTCATTGGAAGTGTACACAGTTGTAAAAACCTATATTAGCCTCGGCTAGTAAAGTTTAATATAGTTTTTGCAGCTGTGTTCGAGTCAAATAGAGACAGTATTCTCAAATGTACGTCATTATTCTACATAATATCGCTTTCTGCGTGTGTTTTTTTCTTGTGTTAGTTTATGGAGTGTTCATATTTGTCTTCATAACATTTCAAAACTTTATTTACATGAAAAACAGTTAATCGCAGACGACATTAAATCGCAGCGTTAAGATGCATGATGGTAAAGAATTGTAAAGTAAAATGACTCGAAATGCGAGGTAACTCTACAAAAACGTGTGTTTAAACGACATCGGGCAGAGTATCCTCTATTAAAATATGGATTGCATCAAAGTTTAGATCTCAAACATAAAAAACGAGGCTTAATTTTTAGATTTAATCGAATATCGATTTATATTGCAATATTGCATGGTGGAACCACATTAAGTTAATGATTTACATTTAATAAGGTTCTAAATGATGTAATAA